AACAATGTCAACAAAAAAACAAGTACGGATGTGGTCCTCGGTGACTGCGGTGGAGTAACGCGAGAAAAATGTACGTCGACAATGTGCTTCCACGACAGTCACGAGCAAAAGGGTTGGTCACTTGAGGCGACCGGTCGGTACGTTGCCACCGGTTCCGATAACTTTTCCCACCTCTGCCCGGTTTTCCGAGGTAGGTGGGTAATATTGGAAACGGTGTTGTCGTTGCCCGGGTTGAGGCTGGGTAGAAAGCGGGCGCGGCTCCGCGATAGTGGTGTACTTGTTGTACCCGCACCACAGCGGGACCGCGTCAATATATATCGAATTGAGTAAGTATATTTCATTGAACTATTAAATTAGGATTTTTGAAGATATTAAGAAAATCTTGATAAATTCAAGTAGGTAATTAAGAAATATAAATAATATTGAAGCACATTTTTGAAAATATTAGACGTTTTTTCTTCTTGGATACACTATTATTTATATTAAAGTAATTCAACAATTTTGGAAAAGTATTTTGAAAGTGACTATAAAGTATAATTAATAGTAGTCTGAACACATCGCGTTGACATCGGATGATCCGTATTTGAGTTCAGTAATCACTAATCAGTACATTTTTTATTATTTCATCATTCCATGATTTTATTTATTTCGACTGAAATGTTTTTAAACAGTACACAATTTTACTGCGACGCCTCTTTAACGATGAAGCCCGCGGTAACCCGCCTTCAATCGTACGTATTTCCGCCTCTGTTATAATTAAACGCAATTATGAGAAAATGATAAACAGTATAAGATGAGCGTACAGTGATTAGAGATAATAATTATAATTGACCTTTATTTAGTGATTTCATAATTATTACAAAAGGAAAAAGAGGCTTCATAATGTATGGTATGATGATATAAATATTATGTATCATGGACGATGGTTCATCATTATAAACATATTTTAACGTGTGATCAAGTATTATAAAAATGAAAGTAGGAAATGAAAATATATTATGTGTCCATGTTTGAAGAATAAATACTTAATAGGGAAAAATTGAATCGAATGAAGTAATATATGTACAGAAATATTGAATGGATTATGAGAAATTAGATAAAGCGGGTATTTTGGAAAATTATTTTCAGTTGAAGGAGATATTATAACAGCTTCTCACCGAATTGAACGGTTAGGAATTTCAAGTATTTTGAATCCTGATAATCAGGGCTCGGAAGTTGTAGCACTAAAAATGTTACTTTTTTAGCTCTTAAATATGCACTTAAAAACTCTAAAATATGTGCTATAAATAGCACGAAAAATCAAAAAAAATATGCATCTAACTTGAAAAAAAAATGTAATATTACAAATTGTTAGGCTCATTAAACAACAGTCCAGACTGTGTTATTGTATAAAGCATATTTTAGTGAAATTTTAACTAAAAATAAAGCATATTGTTCCATTGTTATTAATTCAAAGTTCATGCTGATATAAAAAAAAAAAGAAATCAATAAATAATTTTAAAAAAAAAGTTTGTATATATTATATTGTGAAAATAATATGATATTTATAACATAATCGTTGACACAAAAAAAAAATTCAGAGGGGAGCACTACCTCTCCCCCCCCCTAAAAGCCGCCACTGTATCAAAGAGTATTGCTCTTGTTTAAAAATAATTTCCTAAAAGGCCTATATTTGTGTTATTGTACAATGTACATTATTAAATAATCAATAATCATAAATTGTATGACTAGTTATTTACTAATACTTGATTATTTTGAATCTGACGAAATGCTTTTATTTACTTACTAATTATTTTTAACTATATATTTTGATAACGTTTAAGTATATTAATGTTTGTTATTCTGTTATTTATATTAGTTTATTATAATGCAGTCATAATTACATAAGTAATTAATCAAAGTTCATAAATTATATATAAATGCCTATTTGTTTTAAAATAGGTGTATTTTATTTAACTAACTTTAATCATATTATTGTTGAATGTCAGTACAAATTAATTAATTTTGTAATCGTTAAAATAATTTTGGATGAATCACATGCCGAGCAGTTAGATACTAAATAGATACAATTATTAATTAGATATGACAAATTATTCATAGAAAAAAATAAAATAAATAAATAAATGTATTTATAAAAACTAGTATAGTTACTCGTATTTTAATAGAATATTTATACAGTTGGTTTTTAATTAGCTACACTTATCTCTTATTATTATTTTGATGCATTTAATACTCTCTATAATATAAGAGTTTTAATAGCCACTAAAACAATTTTTGTTCCACTTTTTGAATTATTAGTTCGCTATGTCAAATTCAAATGTATGACTTTGATATTATTTTAATAAGATAGACAGTTAATTTAAATTATTTATAGTAATCATATATAGATATAATATACAAAAGTCAGAGTTCACCAGTGGATATAATAATTTAATAATTTTTCATTAGAAACAAGTGACCTAAATGGATTTAAAAATGAACAAGTATCTCATATTTTACAGTAAATGCATTTCGTTTTCCTTTAGTCAATAGTTATATGTTAGATGAAAATATGTGACAGTGAATACAAAAAAAAAAACTGGGTTTCCTTAAAAATCGATCCAATGTTATTCTTGGAGTTTTTAAATAACATCATTAATTATAGATATTTGTTTAAAGTTTCGAATAAAAAACAAATCAAACGAAACCTCCACAAGTGATACATTTTTTATTCATGCATATACTGCTCTATTATTTTATTTGTTTAGAAATGTAATAATAACATAATAAAGCAATAAAATATAGTTATAATTTGTAAATATATTTTATATGTACACTATTGATAATAAAGTATAGACTATATATAGATAACACATTAAGTAAAAATGAAAACAGAGTAAGGACTATATTCATATCATTTATAGTTTTTTTTTTAGATAAAGGAAAATTTTTAACAAATGGATTTTTAGAGTGAATGAATGGAACGTGAAAAAAATGTTGAAAATATAATGGATTTGGATTGTTTTGAGTCGTGGCAGTATGTTGTGAATTAACATAAAATGGCTTTAGTTAAATTCATTTTTTTATGCTATCATTTAACACTTATAAATTATTAAGTTTTTAAATTTACATCGTAATTTTGATGTAGTAACAATTTTAAATAAAAAATTTAATTCATTTAAAAATAACGTTAGTATATAAATGTATTTTATACTCATACAACAATTGGTGTAGGTAAGGTTGGATTAAGGGAGTGGGGTTTAGCGGGGGTGGTAGCCCCGGGGCTCTCTCAAGTACCCAAGTGAAAGGGGCCCAAACATTTTTAAGCCGATACACACTTTATATCATACTAAAATTAGTAGTTTTATAGATATAAATTGTATATACTTATTAATTTTATAATTTTATAATGCAATTGAAAATTTGTGAAATTGTTAAAAAAATATATCATTTTGCGAGCGTAGCGAGCATCTTTGTAAACCATGTTTTATCAAAAGGGCCTAAATAAAATTTCAGCCCCGGAGCACTATAGGTGCTTAATTCAACCTTGGGTATAGGACACCACTTAATATTTGGCACAGAAATTATCAGTTGATAGATGTGAACACTAGAGTTTGACGTTTATCAAAGTTGAATTCAATTTATGGGAGCTTGTTGGCAGTTAATAATTTGAAATCCCAATCAAGTTAATTTTTGATAGTCAATATTAAAAATATAAATAATATAATAAAAAAACTTTTAACGAAACTTAAACATTTGAGTGCTATAGTTTTTTTTTATAAATTTCCCGAGAAAATTATCTAAATAAAAGTTTGTATCAATACTGTAAAACCCCAAAGGGCAAAGTTGGGGGACTTAAAGAACCGTTTAGTACTTTCCTAGTTGTTAACATGGAACTGCGCTCTTTAAAATTTACTAGAGTAATTAGTAATTCATATTATATAAAACCACATAGTTTAGTTGAAAATGTTTTTTTGGATATGATTATTTCTTTCAATTCAAAAGATTCAATCGAGTGACTTAATTCTATAACAAGCGAATAAGGGTGAAGCCAAACAGTGGGATTTATAGACATATAAATTTATACAAATCATATATACTATGTGATTTTAATAACGTGAGGGAATGTAATAATATAATTATTATGACAGTAAATACATTAGATATATTATTTTGAAATTACGAAATTGGCCGGGATGTACAGTTATGCAACAAGAAAAAACTGAAATAACTTCAAGTACTTGAATAGTAAGTTTCTTGAATTCTTATTATTTGTCTTTAATTTTTAAAATTATCAAAAAACAACTGTGTATTAGCTGTAATTGAATAATGCTGTTCAATGTTCAATAATACGTCATGAAACAAATATACAAAGCTTGATTTCATAAATAATTGACGTTTTAAATAACCAAAGGAATTATTATACGATAAATTTATAAAAATATATTTAATTTTTAAAATAAAAGTTAAACGGAAATATTAAGAGATTAATTCTCCATTATTTTCCATTTTTCTAAATTAACTATTTTCATTGCTATACATAAACTTTTTGAATATAATTGAAAAATATTTTATGTAAATATTTTTCGTTTTAAAATACCAAGTAGTCATTGTTTATGAGTTGGCAAGATGTAAATTAGCACTTCACTTGATATTTCCACACCTTTACAGAGATCTGAGATTTAATTTAGTATTTTACCATTGTATGGATATTTAAACTGTTTTAATACGTCATTCATTAACTTGGCAAAAAATGTAGTCATGAATCAATCGTTTACATCGATTTAGAATGTATTATACTTTTGAAAAAAAAAAGTGTCGATGTTTCATTTTGATTCTTGATTAGTGTTGATGTGTTTATTATTACTGATTTTATTAAAAAAATTTTTTGTATATTAAATCCCTTGATTGAGAAATCATTCTTATGAATTTGTATTATCATCGGTACAATTCGGACTGTTGGTGTAACTGCAATGTGTCAAACATGTGCATTGATTACATTTTTTTTATCAATTTATTTGGTTTTGGTTGTTTTAGAGTTAAACAATGTAGAATTCAAAATTAAGAAAACATCTTTATACTAAAAAATTAATTCAAAAATGAATTGCACTACAATCACTTTAAATAATTTGATATTATCTATGTGCAGTTGATTCGAGTGTATACCATTAGTTGTTGTAGCTATTTCTATCTCCGTCTATGTGCAATTTTATTATTTGTGGCATATATAATGTTATCCTAGCAGATGGAAATTTCATTCTATTATCGGTGATATAGAAACAAATTGTCTTGCAACCATGAAAACTGTTTTAATGGTAGCAGAAAAGCCATCTTTGGCTGCATCATTAGCAAATATACTGAGCAATGGGCGTAGTAATTCAAGAAAAAGTAATTTTAATATAAATTAAATATTCATAAATTTAGCTTATGATTAACATAAAATAATAGGACATTATTTTATATTCATTCAATTGTATTATAATTTTGCGCAAAACAATTTAACACATTGTGCCCATTACACATTAGTTTTTAAAAATTGAGTTGTCATTAAAAATTTTTTTCTTCATAATGCTAATGTTTTTATAAATACAGATATATTAATATAAATGAAATGTGCTATTGGATAGAATAATATATTACAATGTAATATTTAAAATAAAATGCTCATTATAACAAATTTATCAACTTAATTAAACAGTTTTCTTCTTAATTGCTTTAATTATAATATTGCTAATATAGTTTGAATAAAGTATAAAACTATGGGCAAGACAAAAGAATTTTTGTTTTTCATTAATTTTATTTTACTTTAATAAAATTAAAGGCAATTCATAAATTTGTTGTAGCTATATTATTGGAATTAAAATTTAACCCAAAAAGTATTTTGAACATTGATTGAATATAAAACCCAACTAAAAATTAATTTTTGATTGCAATGATTTGTTATCAAATTTGAATATATTTACCTTATTCTTATTAGTTTACCCGAATTCTTTGTATCAGTTAAAGCTAAAAAATAATTGATTAAAAATAACAATATTAAAATTTAATTCTGTTAACGTTATTTATGATTTATATAATAATAATTTATAATTAATCCATAAATTTTAATTGTAATTAGTTTTATAGTTAATTTTACGTAAATTCTTTGTTATATGAATCAAATTATAAATGTTGTCCCATACAGGTATGAATTCTGCTTGTCCTGTGCATGAGTGGTCTGGAACACTTTTTGGAGAATCAGTGATCTTTAAAATGACTTCTGTTTGTGGTCATGTTATGACTTTAGACTTCAACAGTAAATTCAATAATTGGGATAAAGTTGATCCAGTAATATATATAATTCTTTGATATAATTATAAAATCAAAACCAATAAAATTTAACAATTTATCAATAGGAAGAGCTTTTCTCTTGTCCAACTGAAAAAAAAGAAGCATCTCCTAAGTTGCGTATTCCAGCTATGTTAGCATGTGAAGCACGTGGCGTGGATTATTTAGTATTATGGTTAGATTGTGATAAAGAAGGTGAGAATATATGTTTTGAAGTCATTGATGCTGTTAAAAGTTCTATGAAACGTTCTGGTGAAGTAAATGTAAGTATACGTTTAAAAAATGGTTATTTCAATGTTTGTATAATTTTTACAAAAAGTTTAAAAATGATATAATTATTTATAGAGAATTTGGAGAGCAAAATTTTCTGCTATTACAGCTAAAGATATTAAAGCAGCTATGGAAAGATTAGATTTTCCTAATCGCAATGAAGCCATGAGTGTTGATGCCAGACAAGAACTTGATCTACGTATTGGTTGTTCATTTACTCGTTTTCAAACTAAATACTTCCAAGTAATTTTAAAATGTATTTAATATTTTGAGTGTAGCATTTTGTGCTTTCTATTTTGATTAATATTTTTACTTTATTAAAAACTAGTAAATAATAAATCTAACAAAGATTATACTTTAGAGTTAAAACTGATTATATTTCATATCTTTGAAGAATTCTTTGGGAAAAATGAAGTTTTTAATTTAGAATCATTAATTACAAAGCATTGTTAATATTTTTATTATTTACATTTTCTCACTTAATTTAGGGAAAGTATGGAGATCTAGATTCTTCTTTAATATCTTACGGTCCATGTCAAACACCAACATTAGGCTTTTGTGTTCAACGGCATGATGAAATTCGAAGATTTAAGCCTGAACCATATTGGGTTATTCAAGTGAATAAAGATTAAATATTTATTATTAAAAGAAGATATAAAAATGTATGTTAAATGTTTTACTAGGTTACTATTCAATCAAAAGATGGACAAGATGTAGTTCTTCATTGGGAAAAGGGTCGTTGTTTTGAACGTGATACTTCTAATAGCTTACTTCAAGCATTAAAAAAACATCAAGTTGCAATGTATGAATACATTTTATTAATTTTATAACAAAATTATTAAATATCACTATATTTTAGTGTTGTCTCTATATCCCAACAAGAAAAATCCACTCAACGTCCTTTGGCTTTGAATTCTGTTGAGCTTATGCGAGCCGCCAGTACTGGATTGGGAATGGGTCCCCATCATGCAATGCAATTAGCTGAGCGGCTTTATACCCAAGGATATATAAGCTATCCAAGAACAGAAACTTCTCATTACTCGGATAATTTTGATTTGCTGTAAGAATATGTATTATTAAAATATAAATGTACTTTTAAATTTTTTTTAAACAATTTAAGATAATTGATTTATTTTGTTATGCAATATTTATTATAGCGGTGTAATGAGAACTCTTCAGAAAAGTTCTGAATGGGGTCAAGAAATTCGTCAAGTACTAAATAATGGTTTAACCAGACCAAGAAATGGTAAAGATTGTGGTGATCACCCACCTATAACTCCTACCATGTTAGCATCTCGTAATGAATTAGATGGAGATTCATGGAAACTTTACGATTTCATTGTTCGACATTTTGTTGCTACTATATCAAAAGATTGTAGGTTTTACTCTAAAACAGTAACTTTTAAAATTGGTTCTGAAACTTTCACATATAACTGGCGAACATTAATTGATGCTGGATTTACTGCCATTACTCCATGGAAAGCATTGCCTAAAAATGAATTGGCAGTAAATTTTGAAAGGGATGAAAAACTTAATATTAAAGATGTAAGAAAATCATTAAAATAAAATAAAGTTAAAAATGTTGGTATACAATTTTAATGATCTTTTTTATATAGGCTAGACTTACCGATCATATGACTAGTCCTCCAGGTTATCTTACAGAATCAGAACTAATATCAATGATGGAAAAACATGGAATTGGGACTGATGCATCTATTCCTGTTCATATTAATAACATATCACAGCGTAATTATGTTACTGTTGCTTCTGGTCGAAGACTAGTTCCCACTAATTTGGGTATTGTCTTAGTACATGGATATCAAAAGGTTAGCATACAAAATATATTAATTTTTTCTGTAAAAACTTTAATACATTAATATATCAGAATAATTTTAAACGATTGAACTAGTGAGACATTACAATTTTCATAATATTTAAAGTTTAAATTATTAAAATAATTGACTATTTACAATATATACTTATAATTTTTGATGTATATTTAACTATTTTATGTTTTATTTTTATTTAGATTGATAAACAATTGGTAGAGCCAACAATGCGATCTACCATTGAAGATCAGTTGAATCTAATAGCCAAAGGTGAAGCTAATTATGATCGTGTTCTTAGACAAACTATTGAAGCTTTTCGTCAAAAATATTTGTATTTTGTAAAGTCTATTGAAGCTATGGATTCTCTGTTTGAAGTTTCATTTACTACATTAGCCGCTTCAGGAAAAGCACTTTCTAGGTAAATGTAACTATTCTAATATTATACTACATCCATAAAATTGTCAAGTTTTGGAAATAGCCACTTTTCTTAAACTAATTTTAATATTTTTTAAATGCAAAAAATAAAAAATTATAAATTAAATGTAGAATTTCATTCATACAAATTACAGATAGCACATTAAAAATTAAATAGCTTATACTTGTAATATTATTATCTACTTTAAAATAATAAATTTTCATTATTTCTATACTTATTGCCTTTTAATTTAATACTGTTAATACTGTAGCAATTTAAAAGTAGTTCTTTGTAGTTCTTTATTGTATAATTTAAAACTTTAGTTATACACATAAAGTAAATTAAATAATTTAAATTTAATATAACTATAGAATATCCTTAAATTAAATGGTATAACTTTTAAATTTTAACTATAATTATTTTATTTCATTTTCATCAAAATGTATTAACTTATTATTATTACATTCGTTTATTAGTTAATATATTATATTCACTTTTTATAATAATAATGACATTTTTTAATAGCTATTTGCTATACTTTAAAAATATTATTAATACATTGTTTATTTTTAATATTCATTTTTTTCTATTTTACAGATGTGGAAAGTGTCGACGTTACATGAAACTTATTTTAGCTAAACCATCTCGTTTGCACTGTTCACATTGTGATGAAACATACAACTTGCCCCAAAATGGAAATATAAGAATTTATAAAGTAAATAAATGTTAATATATTAGAGATTTTATATTTTATATTGTTTTGGTCTTTATACTGCCATTTTAAAAATTAAGAAGTCACTAAATAAAATGATTTAATAGAATAATTATGGCAGTAATGATTCATTTATCATAATAAATAATTATTTATACTGTAGTTAAGGAAGATAAGCAAAGTGATGGGAAGAACTGAAAATTGGCGATAGATATAAAATCTACCTCATTGAGAATACATTATTCTTAATTGTAGTGTTAAGCTATGCAATTATTTTATATACAAATGTAATACAATTTTATGCAATTTCCAGGAACTAAAATGTCCATTAGATGACTTTGAATTGGTTACATGGTCTACAGGCAATAAAGGACGAAGTTATCCATTATGTCCATATTGTTATAATCAGCCTGCATTTAGAGACATGAAAAAACATAGTGGCTGTAATCTATGTCTTCATCCTACTTGTCCACAAGGATTCTATGTAAATGGCATTGCTAGTTGTTTGCAGTGTGATAGTGGAGTATTAGTATTAGATCCTTCATCTGGGCCTAAATGGAAAGTTGGTTGTAACAAATGTGATGTAATATTCCATTTATTTGAGGATGCTCACAAAATTACTGTCGAAGAAAATAAAGAATGTGATTGTGGAGCACAGTTATTAAAAATTGAGTATAAAGAGGTATTTAAAATTAATAAATCTGTTTGGGATTATTATTTTTTTGAGATTTATATTTTAATAACTTAATTTGAATTATAAATTAATTTTTTAGGAACGTACTCGACTTCCTCGTGATCTTATTGAGATGACTGGTTGTTTATTTTGCTGTGATGAGTTTGGATATTTAGTAGAAAAATTTAGAGCTCAAGCGTCTAAGCCAGTATTTAACAGTCGCCAGGGACGTGGAAAAGCTAAGCATAAGGGTAAAGGTAAACCAAAACCTCCTAAAGATAAAATGGCACAGTTGGCATCTTATTTTGTATAAGAAAGAAAACAGGTATAATGGCCTAAATATATAAATTATAAAAATAATTAAATTTACTTCAGTTATGTATTTGATATGATACAATATATTTTAAAACGATATCTAATAAATTATGTATCATATTTTTTCAAATTTTTAATTATAAGATATTTTGCTGAATCTCATGTATATTAATAAATATTGCCTCAAATATGTAATACTTATTATTAACAATAATAAAATGTATGTAAAAAAGTAAGGTTATATTTGAATATAAATAATATACAACTATCATATAATCATATTAAAATGTATGATATTCCTAATTTTCTCTAAGTACTGGAAACATAGTTTTTTTGTTTACTGATATAATTCTATTTGATGAATATTAGTTATTAATACTTAAATAAACTTATTTTTTTTATTGCATAGTATTTTCACAGTATTTTTTTTCAAAATACATTGATTCATTGATTTTATTGAATTTATGAACGTATACTATAAAAAAGTTAATTTTAATTTTATTTAATTTTATTTGATTCTTTGCATGTATTTTTTTCTATTCTTGCCATTTTAATTGTAGTAATTTATTTATTAGTTACCTATATCATTTAAAATTTTTCAATTTTGAAATATTTTGGATTTTAATAAAATAATATGAGTATTGTACTAATATTTACTTGAAGAAATCATGTTTCAAATCTAGTTTAAGTAAACTAATTTATATTAAAATCACATATTTGTATGAAATAATTATTTTATATTATTTTTAATAATTTTATTAAAAGTCCTACAATGTATTATCTTTCAAACTAAAATATTTCTAACAACTGGTATACGATCATATTATTTCTCTACTGTTGATAATAAAAAAATCAAAGGAAAAATTATCTTTTAAAAATAAGTTCTAGCTTAATTAATGTTTTTAATTTATTGATATTTTATGTGAAAAAAAAAAGTATCAAAAACTATAAAAATGTACTTTTTATCTCAAACAATTATTTTGTTTGTTATATACATTTTTTACCTTATGATCTGACAAAAATTATATTGATAAACTAACTTAAGCTTTGAATAATAATTTCAAAATTGTATTTTATTGTTCTTAAAACAAATTATGTATGCATACATTTATTATAATATATGTTTTTAACATATGACTTATGTCTTAACACAAAGTTAATAACTTAATATTACTTTTTAGAAATAATTGTTTTAACTGAATTGTAAAATTGAGCTGTGTAAAAGTTTCTGTATTGTTCGTACTATCTTAAAATTATGTTAGTACTATGATAATTTATTGTAATTAAAATAAAATAAATAAAATGTGCTTTTTTTCATTTTACTTGTCAGTTTTCTAATTCCTCCTTATTTTTTTGGAAGTAAATTATGAAAAGCCCGTTGTTAATTCCAAATAATTCATATTAATGTGTATTGTTAATATACAACTTACATTATAAAATCTAGATTTTTATGTTCTTAAATATTTTTCCTTAATATATTTTTTTTTTTTTGTGGAGATTTTTGATCTGAAAGATCTCAACGATTGTGGCAATTAGTTTTCTGTAATGGTTAGTCATTATACCTTTATTGGTTTGCTTTTAGGATATGAGTGGATATCGTTAGGAAAGTCTTGATGGCAGTTTTGTTTTCGGGACAGGACAAGGGACGAAAAAAGTAACGGTTAGTGGCTGATTATGAACTAGTGCTTATATGTTTAGACACAATTGTCTTATTCCAATAGTCATGTTGCCCCTAATTATTTGGAAAACCATTGAGAAATTTAAAAATTTAACCTTCCAAATACATTAAATCAAAAATAAATTGTTATCAAATGACCTCTCTTTCAGACCTATCCATTCCAACTTTTAACATTCAGAACATTTTTTCTGGTCAAAATCTTGTTAATGAACACTTTCTAGACGAATTTTCCAAATTTGATTCTACGTTAAATAACTCGGATGAAAATATTCAACCATTAATTAATTGCAAAATTACTTATTTTATTAAAAAATATATAATTGTATATAGGTGAAGTTAAACATTTTTTATGTCCGAAGTACACGTTTCCGCTATGTATTATCGCTAAATATTTAAATCGTATCTATAAAACATCACAAGATTACCATTAGACGTCTGTTTCTATTGCCACTAACATAAGGTTAACTTCCTCTTTTTTTTTTTTTTTAAAATTTTTCTCAGAAAATAAAACGATTTTTTTTCTTTTGCAACTCACGATTATCACTATATCATATTAAAAGTATTAATTTATAATATACCGATATTTTAGCTGTGTAAAAATGTAAAAGAAGGCATTATTTAAATTCTGAACAAAATTATGCATATATCATATTAATGGCTGAATTACCCGGTTGAAAATTCAAAAAAAAACTACTAAACGTTGAACTTCGTTTGAAGTTTTAAATACTTTTGTGCTTTTTGTCACTTACATTTTGGATAAGTATACGAGTATACATTCATAAAATATAACAATTATTGAAGTTGGCTACTAATAGTATAATAATAAATATGCTGGCCAAAAACTGATTGTTATATTTAACTAATCAATTTTTTTTTCTTCATTTAAACATCAAGATATAATGATGATGGATTATAAACCTATGATTGTCAGATTAAAAAAGAACGGACAAGCTATAATTAAGAAAATGTGATCATATTATGTTAATGTAATATACTCATATTAACAATTTTTTAATTAATAGTTTGTAGTTAACAGCTAAGTAAATTAAATAAATTATCATTACCTACCTAGTAATTTAGTGTAAGATTTATTTAGCAGCATAGGCGCCCGCAGAAATTTTTCTAGGGGGAGGCAATGTTAGGATTTGAAGATAAAAATTATAATTTTACTAGGTATTTCAAAAGAATAACCTTTTTTATTATACTCGTACCTATACAATATATATTTTATTACGTTACAACTTATTTTATTATTAGTATAGGTATTAAATACATAGGTAAAGGTAACTTAATTAATTCTCAAAAAGAAATTGTAGTCGTCTCACATCTCTTTCGAAACTATCAACAATTTCTTCATAATATTTGTTATTACTAATTAGGTCAATTATCGTGGATTTATGTATATTCATCATGCACAAAGCATCGAGTCTTTCGTTAGTCATAGTAGAGCGTATCCAGGTTTTAACTCTCCGCAAAGTGCTGAAAGACCGCTCAGCAGTACAAGTAGTTGCCGGGAAGCTAATGTCAATACAAATTGCCGAAAATACCGATGGGTAAAATATTTCGGATTCTTTCAGGATATCTAGTACATCTTGAGATTTCTGAATATTTGAGCAATTGTCATACCAAATCATTGATTCAGCTGCAAAATTGTCTAGAAAAGAACTATATTTTTTTGAAATTTTTTCAGTAAGCGATCTATATTGATTTTCATCGAGCTTACTCATATATTCTGGTAATAATTGAAAAATAGAATAAGGTACTTCATTTTCTTCTGAAAATCGTTCTTTAAGGGATAATATTAATGAATCAACATATCGAATAAAAATATTAATTTTAAAATAACTTTCAGCACAATCAGCAAGTACATTTGCTCTATATATTTGTTTTTTGACAATTCTTGGTATAGTTATTTTAATATCTGATTCAGCTAAACTACTTTCCATTTTACCCCAAAGAACATTAAAAGTAGCATCTGCAGACTCTCGATGTTTTTGAAATATTTGAGTAAGCGTAGTTATTTGTTTTTTTACAGTTAATAGATTCTGATTAACTCCTTGGAGTACATTAGCAACTGGTTCCAACATAGAAGAATATTCAGCCATAACAAACAAACAAACTAAAAATGTTGAATTACTACAAGAATTATACAATTGAAAAGCACGATTTTTTGTATTACGGTTTACGTCACTTTCCGATAGTTTTTGCAACGCTTCTAATATTATATTAATGTTTTCTTTAAATATCCTTATACTTTTGTATTTGGCTGTCCAACGCGTTTCGCAGAATAGAGGAATGTTTGGAATGTATTTTCTTCTCAAAGGACTTTCTCGAAAAAAATTTATTGAATCTTTTATTGTTCCAACCGTGTTACGAATTTCGGAAACATCGCTCAAATCATTAATTACTAAATTTAACTTATGAAAATTACAATGAAAAAAATTTGCGTTTGGATATTTATCTTCAATTCGTTTTCTAACTCCACTTATTTTTCCCGCCATAGTAGAACAACCGTCATATGCTTGACCGATCATTTTTGATAGATCAAGCCCAAATTTTATGAGAGTGGACAGAATTTGTTCAGATATAGTTTCGGCGTCCAAACGTTGCAATGGTACAAAGCCTAAAAATTCTTCCCTTACACAGAATTTACCGGTTGACATTTTGTGCACGAATCGTACTCCTAACGAAAGCTGCTCTATACCGGATATATCACACGATTCATCAGCAATGACTGAAAAGAACTGGCTTTCCTTTACATCTTTAATTATATGTTCTAGTAACACTTCATTGCATATATTTATAAGTTCGTTTTGAATTCTATGTGAAGTATAAGTCGCATTTGCTGCAGAATTTTTCAAATGGTCATTTAAAATAGTATCTCCTGCGTCAACTCTAAATTTTAATAAGCTATTGAAGATAGCAGCAGTCTCGTCAGTTTTTCCTCTTAGAGGCATATTGTGTATACCACAAAAAACTATTGTTTTGATTATGGGTATTAGTTTTGCTCTATTTGACTCTATTGTTTGTTGTTGAGCAGAACTCATAAGTTGAACAACATTTTTTTTTTGTTTTCTATAATATTACAAAAATTATTTGCTCTATTCGTTGAGTCACGGTGCCATTTAGATTTAAGATGAAGTTTCACAGAGCCATGGAAGTCTTTATATTTCGTAAATTCATTAATAATAAATTGACCTTGCACTCCTCGATCCAGTTGAGGTTTGAATAATACGCAATAACGGCATAAAACTCCTTTTAATTTTGAAGAATATGAAATAAAAGGATAGTCTACTAACCACTGAAGACGAAATAAACGATTTCCAGTATTGGAGTCTTTTTTAAAATCGTACGATTTATCGGGTACCCACGCTTTTTTTAATGCTTTATAAATGATCTCGTCTGCAAATTTACCATGATTAATAAAATTTCCAATATCATAGAAATCAATGTTTGCAAAATCCTAAAAAATTAATTATTCAATTAAAACCAGGGATGGAAAACATTTTTAATTTTTCCATTTTTGTTATTGTTTATTAATTTTAAAAATATATTTTTTTGTTTAACATTTTTAAACGTTTTAATTAACTTTTAAAATACGTTATTTTTTTATATTGTTTCCAAATAAATGTAATATATTTATAAAAACCTTAGGGTCAATAGTGTAATAAAAATTATTGTCTTACCTTTTCTACGATAGTTAACGAAGTAGATGTTTCACCTAAAGAAGTTGACTGATCTACTTCTATTTGGCTAGTTTCGGTTTCATTTTCATTTATTTTAGCATTGTCAGGTTCTAGTTCTAAACGAGGTTTTTTAAAGTATCTCCTTAAATCCATTTTCTATCAAATTCGAACAACCGTTAAATATTTTAGATGAACCGATAGATTTACAAATACATTGAATAACGAATAACGACTGACTTATGATCACGATGATAAAATATTATATGGGTAAACAATTACTAATCATATCAGTAATCACTTTATATAATAGATGATAGAGAATATTACGTATAAAGTTATTTAGGTATAGAAAGGACTAATCTAAAAATACAATTATCAATCGACTGCAAAATAAAATCTAATCTAATGTTTTTATAATGGTAACTTATTACTTTTATAACCACTTTAAATTTGCTGTAGAGTATACCTATAGTAATTTATCTAAAACATTCAATTTAAAATAATACTTTGAAAAAGCCAGGGAGGGGCAAATGCCCCAGCTTGCCCCCCCCTGCGGGCGCCTATGTTTAGCAGTAATTAATTGTTTTAGAATAATTTGGTAATACATAAATATAGTTAATATTAGTTATAAAATAATTAAATAACAGGTTGGTAAGTAGTAAATATTAATAGTTATTTGGTCATTGAATTAGGGGTAATGAAAAGTTAAGTTAAATTAAATAAATAATTATTATTAATAATTATTTGTAAGATTTATCTAGTAATAATTAACTATATTTAAAATTACTTAGCAGTGCCTAGCTAAATATATTATAGAAGTGTAATAATAAGTTCAGAAGATTGTCAGTATTTTTTTGAACTAATTCAGATTTAATAGTTTGTAACATTATGTTTTAGTAGAATTAAAACTAAATTTTCGTTCGAAATACATTTATTTATAATAAAAAATAAAATAAAAATTAAGAATTATTAAATGGTTAATACTCCTAAATATATATATATACATACTAGCTGTCCCGACACGGCGTTGCCCGCGTATTAGTTGGTTTTTTAGCATTTTCGTAGGCCAATGAATTTCTGCTGTTCTGATTTGTTGAGCTGCGTTTCTTGCTGCAATTTGTTCTTCCGATTCATGAGCTCTATTAGCACGCATACGTCGTGCATTTTTACTATACTGATTGTGTAGGTTAGATTTCCGCGGCATTATACTAAATTTAAAAAAAATTACAGAATATTCAATACTGATCACTGCACAATAATAACACAATACCAAGTATTTATGGTTAGTGTGTAGGTAAAGTAAAATACGAAAACACTAAACCGGTACAAATTAAACTGTATAAATAAAAATAACAAACAAAACTCGAGACGGCGCGATTAACTTCAAGCCAAACCAAAATATGAGAATGAGGCAAACCTCGCTTTTGCCACTCAATAGAATACAGCCAGCAACGTGTGTTACCAAAAACTGAATATTTTACGATTAAATTAATTAAAGATTTTAACTTTTATTTAAACACACGTGTAACGATATCGTGACGATGTATTGATTGTTGGCCTAGTAATAACAAACTTTTTATTTCTTCCCAATTTGAATTACACGTAAATGTAACAAACAAATTAGGTCGACCGTAATGACGTACATAAGTCATCGCATCTTGTATGTATTCCTGCATGCTCCGTGGACTGCCGATGTAGCTTGAAGGTAAAATACATGCAGTTCCGATGTCATTGGCGTTTAAATTTTCATCGATGTTTCCGGTGATAGAAATACACCGAAATACACCATGCAATTATACACATTTATTAAAAAGTTAATTAAAATATTTAAAATATTAAAAAATTTGAAAAAAAACTATTCTATATTTTAAGTTGGACCAAATTACACACGGTGTAAAAAATTTCATCAAAATCGGTCCAGTAGTTTCGGAGATTATCGCGAACATACATCGTGACACGAAATTTTTATATGTATAGATAAATAAATAAATAAATAAAAGCTTAGTCTGGAGTATTATTATATACTCTACTTATTTATAATTCAGAGTATAATAGGTTCCACTAGGTACTTCAAAGTTCATACGTTATGTCGATTTTGAGATGCAGCGATTAGTGAGCAAGTGGTATTTGAATTTTGAATAAATATAAACATATGTTATTGTTTATTGGACAGTATTTTTTTTTTTTTAATCGATTGTGACAACCTAGAAAAATCTCAGAGGTCGATCACAAGTCTATTAAAGTTGGCCACCCCTGCCCTAGACAACGAAAAACTGATGGCCATAGACCATGGCCATCTAATATGTACGTCCGACTTCGGTCTAACACTGCAAGTTAGTATTGTAAATAGTAATAGCCTTCACACGTATTGAAAATCAATAACCAATAACCACATTGTTAACATTTTCGAAAATAAATATCATTATATGAATTTGATCATTTTAATCACTCATACTATTTTCGTTCTCCACATCCAACAATAAACAAAAAGGTTAGTATCAAGTTAATATTAATTCATTGTATCAGATTAATACTGTTAATTAAATTTTTTCGAACCATCGCTATCACAACATAATTGCTATAATAATTAATTTAGATTTTTTTACCATTTAATGTACTATTGTTGTTAAAATTACTTATTCTATATTTTTAGTATTGTCAGTATTTTTTTTTCTAAATAAGTAGGAAAAAATACAATGTGTTAATAAAAATTGTATAAGTTTAGTCTTTGATGTTTATTATAATATTAGTAAATATCATATTCTATTGTATAAGTCTTTATGTTTCAAGGTACCTAATTTGTATGCTAATGATAATACATTGTTGTATCAAAAAACTTAGATAACTTTACTGACTAATAATTTGTATGACATATTATGATCTATGTTGTATTTTGTACACTATTTTAGTATTTTAGAATGTTCTAAGAAATGCTGATTTATTGTATGTTGTACATTAAAAATGTAATGTGGTGTATAAAACATAACGTTATGTGGAAAATTAAATAAAAATGAAAAAACCGATTATATTATTTATGATATATTTTTTTTTTAGTTATACAATAAGTATAAAAATATGATGTCGGGTGAGTACGATAATCACATTATGCAGATCACAGACTCCTACTGCGGTGATCGTGTTACATCATAGGAAGAGGATCACAACCAGTAGAAAGTGAAATCAATGTGTACACGCGCAGTGGCTGAATAAACCGTGACGCGACTACAACCAAGCATACACAGGTAACTAATATACATTTTAATATAACCTTCCGATTGGAGCACTATACGAATATAGGAGGTCAGTTACTAGAATTATTGCTATAACTATTTTCCAAGCTTAACAAATAATGTTCGTAGTTGTTTTTCAGTATTGGTCGTTAATAATATTTTTAAATACATCAAGTATTTGCACATTAAATACATTTTTAATTCTAACGTATAATTATTATTGATATTTAGGTTTATGATAAAAATTAAGGTTTTTTTTTAAACTTAAAATAATTAGGACACGGATTTTAAAGCAAATGCTTCTTTTTTTATATATGAGATAGAACTTTAATTTTTAAATATAAATTCGTTTCACGTCTTTCTGTTACCAAATAAACCAATTTATTTTTGCTTTTTTTTGGGTGAATGCTTTTTTGATTTTTATTGCTTTTTCAGTTATTCCAGCTGTGGAATTTTTATACATATGTGTAGGTTTATTATAATATAGTAATAAAAAAATATATTTAAATAATAACAAATGTGAAAACCTAAAATATGGACTAAATGGTTGTATTGGATTATTATTGTTTTCGGTTTAATTGTTAAATTTATTTTATTAAACGTATATATCTATCGATCTGCAGATAGTTAGATCATTGACAAAATGTATAAATGTTGTCTAAGATGCAGAAAATATGTTAAATTAAGCTAATGGAGATATTGCAACTACAATTTCGGGTAAACTAAATCGTGTTCTTGTGAAAAACAAAGGTTGGAAACAATTACTAGACATTAATAATATACTGGTGGCATTTAATCAAACGAAATTAATTATCATAGGTTAGATTTAAATGAAACCTTTTGCATGAAGTATGTACCGATAACTTCAGTGGATGTAAAGCATTCGTTTTCTTTGTATAAAAACATTCTGTCAGATAATAGAGACAGTTTCACTACTGAAAATATACTACTAAAATATATGATAGTTAATTATTTTTTTAATTTAATTAATTTTTTTTATTAATTTTTATAAGTACCTAATTCATATTAATTTTTGGTCATGCTTTTTTTTTTTGCTTTTTTTGTTATTTATTATGCTTTAAACTCCGAACCCTAGTCATAACATATAATAGTTTATTACCTTAAGGCTTAAATTTATCCATGCAATTGTTATTTATTCTGAGTACCAATATTTTTAAATATGGAATTATTCATTAGTAGGTTATATCTAAATGTTTTTCCATGCTATGTCAATGTTAATCGGTACTTACGTCTATATTTTATACCAAAAGATAAATGCATTATGCACGAACAGCTAGTAATCGTTTACCCAAGTACAAATTGATTATACGAGCTATGTCAAATAGATATCAATTTCTTAAATATATATTACCATAAAACGTTTCGTTTCAAATCAGTTAACTATTTTTTCTGTTTCTATAACCATAATATTTTTCCATTTATTGTATTAAATGAAGCCATATTTTTGAACTTTAACAACAGTATTAAAACTTAAAAGACTATATGACTAATTCATTATTTTTTGCAAGTAATTATGAAGAAATTATAAAATTAAAGTTTTTCTTTAATTTAAGAAATAATAAATTATAATATAAAGTAAATCTTGCATGCAAAACAAGCATGTAATAGGTAAAAATATAAAACCTTAAATTTAACAAACTTTTTTTTTGATTTTAAGTAGTATTCACAAGTCACAAATAAAATATTTTAGTATATGTACTTAATTAATTAATTTTAGTTATTTTATATATATATATATTTTATTAATACTATTTATGTTTATTTAATTTCTTTGATGTAATGTTTCTAACGAATGCAAAATAAATAAAAAAAATTAAAAAAATTTGTATTTGAAGAATATAATTTTTTCTTGACATTTCAAAGAAATTTCTTAGATTCTATTTATTTTAGCAGTTGCATGTAATGGTCATTTTTCATTTAAAAATTTTTTTTGAAAATTTGCAATTTAGTAGGTACTTCAAATGATTATATTTTAATTATCATTATAATAATTGTTTGCGAATCCTTGACGCGTATGTCAGTATAAGGTATGAATTTATACATTTATAATATTTTGTATTATACATAAAATAAATATTTGACAATTCAATCGACGATAAAGTATGTTACCCAAGTTTTGAAAATGAATGAACAATTTAAAACGTGAATGAGATGCTATCAAGAATTTGTCTAAACGATTAAATTATTTAAGTGTAAGTAACAAAAAGCTTTTATACATTTATGGTAGATAAATATAAGTAATTTATATACCTAAGAGGAACTCGTATAATTTTAATAAAAAAATATTTTAAAAGATAAGAATATTTAAAAGCGGTGAATGGTTGGTAATAGTTTGATACCAGTAGGAATAAAATTTTCTCAGAATGAAATTATTTTATGGTTCAAAATTGGTCCAGTTCGAACAAGGTTGCAATTGGATAATAGAATATTACGAACATACATACTACAAATTATAAGAATGTTTTATAATAATTTTTAAATTTTATTAATTTGGCAAAGTTGTTATAAATGTATAGGCATTTTTCATTTTTATATGGATTATGTAGTCGTATTAGTTACTTTGAGAATACGCCAAAACATAAATTAATAGCTATCTATAATCTATATAGTCAAATAAATAGTTGATACTTACTATACCTACAAATTTTATTTATACTTTAAACAAATTATATATTGCACATTAATGATCATAATTTAAAAAATATATATTTATTTTATCGTTATAAAAAATAATTAAAGAGCAAAAACAGCATGTATAAACAATATACATTAGAACATTAAGTTTAATATAATCAAATAAATGTTTTTGCCTTGATATAATAAATTAATTATAGTTGTTAATTTAAGGCTATTTAATCACTTCTTAAATATGTTTACCAAAATTAAATTGTATTTTTAAAAAATGATAGGAATAGTATATAAATTATTAAACAACTTTCTATAAATAAATAAGTTACCATTATAAACTGTTTTACATAGATTTCTTATATTATGAACATATTATAAACTGTTTTACATAGATTTCTTATATTATGAACATTATAATATAATTGACATTATAACAGTGATATTGCATATCCTGATTGTTCTCCGTCTAGAACTATTTATTTAAATTTTAAGTGCATGATACCTAAATAGGTGATGGATTATTATTTTAAATTGTTATTCAAAAATAATCGCATTTTCAAAATACAGAGATTACAATTTTGATATTTTAAAAATGCATATAAATTTCATAATAAATCTTTGAAATATAAATTTACATATTATATTTTCTTAAGTCAAAATAAATTACAGTAATATTACACGTTGATTTTGGTAAAATATTATGACTCACTAGACTTTATATTATGAAATATTTTTACAAAATAGTTAAATACTATATCCGGAATCATTTTTGTTCGACGGAATTCATTGAATGACGGTTTGCGAAGAACGAATCTGAAGTAATTTTTTGTCACGAAACAATCTTATAATTTGACTGTGACGAATATAGGTATTCTTTGGTGTAGCTAAATGATGTAAAATTCTAGAACGACACACATTTATAATTGTAGTAAATAAGGAAGGTTTTTAATACATTATACATACTATTTCTTTTAGTTCATACTTTCATACTTTAGAGATATTTATATTTAAGGATATATATATATATATATATACGTATAACTAACATTTATTAAATCACGTTCTTTTTATTCTATACCAAATGAATGATTAAATCAGAATAATATGATAATATTATTGTCTTGTTCATTCTTGCACAATATTTTCTTAAATACCATTGATCCTGCCATTGATTCTTGTTGAATAGTATTTAAGTAAAATAAACTACGTGTAACCTAATTAATTTTACGCTCGTCACGACTACTGTCAAAATAACGTTTAATCACACGTAATAAATAGTACGTCATGCGTGTGTTCAATATCTTCCAAAGATTATGGTAGTTTCTTCTTTTACGTATTTATTAGTGTAAATTAAATTATGTTGTGGTCCTGTTAATCCGTTTTAATTTATGTATTAACTATAGGGATTTTTTTTAAAACATCGTAACTTTACCAGAAAACCTCCAATACCAATTTCTCATATCTGTATCTAGTATATACTCTTCCAAACTATGTTTATTTATAAGGGACCAGTTGTTAATTATTAGTATATATGAAGTATGTATTAAGTGTCAGTATTCGAGGATATTATTAAAATAGCAATGTATCGTCATATCATGGATTAATTTCATTTGTCAATGCTGCGAATTTTTTTGCATAAACGGGCCATGATTAGCAAGAAATAATTTAATAACAATCGATTACATCAAAGGGCGGGTTCGCTTACCGGGAGAATAGACGTAATTATTATGAATAACAAACGTTTTTATAAATTATGTATACACGAGTTTTTTAAACAATTCCGAATGCAAGGAATGTTTCGAGACAAAAATATGATTCAATTATTAACAATTCACTCTGTTATACATCTCGTTTACACCACAATAGGTAATCGGAGATTTTGCCGTATATATTCGACGTTTATAACTCACATCGTTAAATTATGTACATGTAGAATATTATTTTATTAGATTCTAATTTTTCGATCTTCAAATGAGCAGTCTCATGTGGATGTCAAAACGGGACGTTTTTGTGTACGGTCGTGTGCATGTTTATGCGTATCAGTGGCGTTATTTGAGAAGGAAGGCAACTTGTGCATTTACCATAGTCTAGAGTTTACCTTGTCTAAAGTTGGTACATCATCAAAATATAAATACGTCTTTTATAAAACCGTTGACATGTTGTAAATCCGGAAAAATATTATTACTATAAAGATGATACTTACGTATAAAGTACAGTTCGTTATATTTTTAGACTAGTTTGACGTTTCATTGCCCTCGCGTTAAGCGAAATTTTGGTCAAATGAACCGCCGAGCAGGCAATTTCGTAAGAACTGTCCTACACTTCAGGAAAAACTGAAATGATGCCACTGGTGTATGTGTTTGTGTGTGTGCACGCACGTGTTAAATAGGCGTACATAATATTTATATTCGTCGATAAACGAGTACATAATAACGCCACGCGGTCGCAGCACAACATTAATAAAAGTTACGCGTACACCGTGCACAGGAATATACCTATCACACAGGCGATACACTCGGCGTCACGATTGCAGGATACGTACGCGCACGTGTGTTTCAGCGGCCGCCGCGTCAGGACGATAACCCTGGGGCGTCGACGTTCGGCAAACAGCGTTGAACAGTAATTCTTTTTTTAAGAACCGCGTCGTTAAGCCGCGCGCGCAAAACGACCAGCGCAGCTCTAATACAACGTGTACATGTAAGCGGTACCGCGCGCGACGTAGGATTTACACGGTTAATAATAGCCGACCGACTACACTTTCCCCGCGCGTAATGCGCGTCAACGTACGCGCGTACGTTATGTGCGCGCGGGCAGCGATTTATAACACACATAATACCATTTACATTTGTATGCATTTTACACCGCGGCGGTCGTCGTTTGTCCGTGAACGTTGACGGCGGTACATGTATAATACGTAACGATAATGATATTATTATTATTGCAATCCGAAAATCGTAATACCGTTCGGTACACGACATATAGGAAGACCGGGGGCGGAACGAACGAAAAAAAAAACCCAGAAACCAGTAAACACGCGATACACGGCGAACCGCGTCGACACGTATGTACCGAGTACCAATAACGCGAAACGACGCTGCGGGTGTAGGTAATTTCGAGTCGACGTCGTCGTGCTGAAAAAGCTTTTTATTTTTCGGGTCAAGATCACCGGGCGACTGTGCGGGGAATAACACTGCGTATTGTAATGCCTCGTAACGTAACATAACGCACACGCAGCAGCACCGCGGTACGTGCTCACGCGGCCGACAGGGGAACCCCCAGAGCCTTGACCATTGCGTAACCGGATCTCGGTGGTCGGTAAACCGAGTGCGGCGGCGTTCGGATACAAAACCCGGGACGCGAACCGCTCGTTTGACATAATACGCGCGTCGTCGTCGTCGTCGTCGTCGTCGTCGTTCATCGTTCGTCGTTCATCGTTCATCGTTCGTCGTTCGTTGACGGGTGCAATAGAGAGTACACCTCTTCGTACTCGCGCGCTCTCTCGTGCGTCACTCGCAATCGTCATCGCTTCACGTGCACGGCCCGCGAGTTCGGCCGCGCATCGCCGTCGGAGGGACCGGGCAAAAACGTACGACGTGAGTACAAGTAATAAAATTATTGACGCACACGGTGCGGTTGTAGAACTGTTATTTCCTATCGCATCCACGTGCACGGGTACCGGCTACGCGGCACCGTACGAATGGCAACGTTTACAGTTCACAATAACACGCCGTAGTTAGTGACCAGCTGTGTCGCGTGCTCGTGCTAACGCTGCGTGTTATTGCTATTATGCATAATCTCGATTTTTACGAACGTTTTATTATTTACATAAGTCTCGAGCGCGGTGTCACAAGGACGCGTGTCAATTGGGCTGCGCGCCTACTTATAGGTATTTATTTTTTTTTCCTCATTATATAATTGTAACAAATGTAATTCGCGTGCCGCCACCGATTTACAATCAAATAGCGCTCTGTGGTATATATATATATATGTGCTACGCTGGGGTGGGTGCGTACATTATATTCGTATTATGGTAACCGTTGCGCAAAACTGAGTATTATATTAGGGAACGATTGTTTAAATCGAAACCGGTGCAGCGCCTATACGATTTTTCGTAATATTTACACGAGTAATTCGAAAAAAATAAAAAAAATACACAAAAACCAATATATATATTATGTTTCAACAAAATATTTGTGTACATACGGTTACGTATACAATGATAGATATTGAAATTAAAAAATTGATGAAAATTGAAAAGATTACATTCGATTACATTATTTATTATTCTAGACAAAGCATAATTATTGCGCAAATCTATTATCGATGAAAAGCGGTACGGACGTATGCATAACGCTCTTAAACGGATATCGATACGTGTATCAATTATTAATCGGTTTTCGTATTTTATAATAATCCATTTATAAACGTACATACAAATTATATGTTTTTGATCAAGATGTATTAATTATTAATTTATTTAAATTTATTATTCGTATTTAGTTGCATGTATTATTACATTTTAATTGCAATAACGCCAATAGCTTATAAAAGTGAACTTTTGAATAAAATTTTAACTAAATATTTAAATATATATATATTTATATATTTTGATATCTTGACGGGCGCTCATAGAAAAAACCGGTCGCATTTGCCAACTTCCGACAGTAAAGTGAGCAGGTACACATAATGAACGAATTTTTGAAAATTATCAAATAATAAATTATTAATAATATCTAATTCGATAGTGATATAATATAATTATATCATAATTATATCATAATTATATCATATTATATTACAATATAATCTCAAATAAATTAAATAATCCATGACATAATACGTTTCGGGGTGGATTGTGGCCCAGATTCTTTGTACCATTATTTTCACGGTTTCTAATAGGTAGTATATCTTTTGGGAATTAAGAAATATGTTCATATATACCAATAATTTCAGATTATGGTTAATTTATATAAAATATTTATATATTTATGAATAATATTACGTGTTTTATTGAGTTAAATGCCTACAACTATTAACATAGTTTATATTGGTTCGTAATATTAACAACTCATAACAGTTTAGAGTATTTATCAAAATTTGCTTCTTTCTTTATGTAGTTGTATAATTATATTACACTTACTAAAAGATAAAATAATTTAGTATACCTGTATTTATGTGAAATTAAAAACTGATTAGAGTCAAATTTAATTGTTTAAATGAGATTATTAATGATTATGATTTCTACTTATACTTCTTAAGTTAACAAATCTTTGTAAATGTATGGGTTCGAAATTTAAGGGTGAATAGTGTAAATATTTTTCAATATAATTTTAATAATTTTATTTATGGCTATTCCTTAAAAAATTAACTGGTTTTTATGTTTTCGAAAGTAAATCCTGGTTAATTTTCCTCATGTGAAATTGATAAATACATAATTATTTTTATTGACACATGTAAAAGTATAGTACCTACAAAAAAACTATAAAAAAAAAAATTCAGTATTTCGTTTAATCTACTCACAGGATAATCGTGGCTTGTAATTTTATACAACACACAGAGTTCAAACTATTTATAAATGTTAAAAAAAATGTGATATAAGATAAAAGCTATAAAATTAACAATATACAGAGATCGTGTGAGATATATGAGTCGAGTAAGATACAGGGCTGGGTAACAAATATAGGTGAATCGTTCTTACACGTTTGAAATCATTGGGTTCGAATGACCATTCTAAGTAAGGAGAAAGGGTGGATCAGTTTCTTTATATAAAAATAATTTATTTTGCTTTGTTGGTATACATTAATTTAAACAGGACTATAAATAACTTTGACTCAGAAGTCGATTTTTAACACTAGACTTCACATACGCACAACGAATTTTGAAATCAGTAAGATAGGATAAAGAATACATAAAAAGAATAATATTCGCATGTTATGTAGATATACACATGCGTCTAGTTCAGTAGAATTTATAATTCTGTCAAGGGAGAGGATATGTATTGGTCAATATTTCATTGAACGAAGAGAACTTCGCTCCCTTACCTTCGACTTTTTTTTTTTTTTTTTAAAGAAGAAAATTATCGTTCCAGAGTTTTAGTAAACACTGGTAATATGCAAAATATTTTGAGATGCATTTGAATATTGGGATTAAGTTCTTTATCACAAATATTTAAATCGTGTAACTATGAGAATGAAGTTATGTTGTTCTAGGGCCTGCCTAGAAATTTTTTTTAATGGAGGGGAGGGGTTCAATATTTTTCCTAACACGTATTTCAAATGTATTTATTTCACAATAATTTTGGTAATAATTCATTTAATAGTAATAGATAGAAATTAAATTATATAAAAAATACTAAACAATATGTTTTTTCTAAATTCATTAAAACTTGGGGGCGGGGGGTTAAACACTCAAACCCTGTCCTTTGTCACGCCCCTGGTGTTTTCTGTAATTATTTTATGTCTCTGCATGTTTAGTTCAATATGTAAGTTAATTATATGTGAATAAAATTCGACTAGCTTTTTAAACACCTATTTTTTTTGATTTTTTAGCAATAGAGATTATTGTAATTTATTACCTTCAAATATTTTTTTATAGTTAGTAAATTATTCAATCAGTTATGTTATATAAAAATAATGTGACACAATAGTAATGTTCAATAGAACAATGTAGAATATTTATATTGACCCAACGGATTTGTTAAGAATTACGTTGCATACGCGTTCAACTGCGAAGTGCTTTAAAAATAACGAGCGTTTAAACGTTAAATACGTATTTCCTCTATTATATTATCCTGGTATAAATCATAGAATTTATTAAAAATAAGAAGAAAAATCTCATGGGGATGGATAAATTCCCCATATACCCTCTTCGTAAATACGCCAATAGCCTAGTGTACCGTGTAGGGTGTACGATGTGTCTTTAATTATTTATACTTTAAATTAAAAATTACTATTAATGTACTTTAAAAAATGTTTGATTTTTATATTTTAGTATTTTTTATACGGTGATTAATGAGCATATTTTTATATAATACGATAAATAGTAATTTGTTTTTAATATATTTTACATTAGAATCAATCATAAATTTGGCCGTTGTTTATTATCAACTTACGATGTTTATGTGTTGGCATACAACGTGTTTATTACATACCTTGTACGAAATAAATATGTAATGTTCACAATATAATGTTACAACGTTTGGTGTTCATATGCGCAAATAGGTAGTGGTTAGGGGGCTTAGCCTCTTTGAATATATGTCTAGTCCTCCCCCCCAAATATTTATCTATCTTCCGCATAATAGGTACAAAAACGAACTGAAAAATAAGAGACATTTACCAAAGTGATACAAAATAAAAGTTAACACCCCCAAAAATAAAACTCTAGTGTCGCCTATTGGTTTAGATGTGACTTATGATGTACAAAAATATGACGAAGTAAACTACTTGAATGTAATATATTGTTTTAATAATAATTTATTTTCTATATTATTATAATTTAAACATATAATTTTATTTGACATGAAATTAATTTTAATTTCAAACGAGAAAATATAAGTTTTTTTTCAATTCGATTAAATAGCTGGACTATAATGTTAGTTTTATATTTAGTTGGGTAATAATTTATTGTTAAACTCTAGTTATTTTTTTATTATTATAAAATTATTTTAAAGATTATTATTTTAATATTTTATTATTATTATTATTTTAAAGAAATATTTTTGACCACCTAGTAAAATAGTTTAGTCTTGAAATGTAGTTTATACTGTATATAATAACCATAGCGGCTTATTAAAATTAATATAATATTCTTCATGACGTGCGTGGGAGAAATTAAAACAGTATAACTTTTATTTTTATTTTCTATTGTTTTAACATAGTGTGTGCTGACATAATGTGAATATTTTATTTTTCTATGTCTTTGTCTTTATGTCCAATGAATTATTTTTGTATGTTCTATTATATAAAAAATTTATCTAGAAATAACAGGTTACCTATACGATATTCAATAATGATATTTGTCTTCCTTTTACTGTTATTAATTATAATATAAGAACAAAATAAAACCGTTACAGAAACACCTAACTATATGTGTTTATACAGATATAGATATTTTATTGGTGATTAAAATTGTATATAAAACAACCGTTTTGAAGTGTTGGAAAAGAAAAATGACCCTATAGTTGTGATTTAAACTAGAAGAATGGGAGAAAAAATTATAATACAATGTCGACATCATGAATGAATAAGACTGGTGGGTTGATATATAGAAGACAGGAGGGAAATATAACCCGATATAGAATTGATAGCCAAACCATAACACAGTCATCGTCGTCATTGCTTATCGAACGGAACGAAAGTGAAAACCTAATTTCCATTTCAATATATTTGTGTGAATGTATTATATTATATTTTTTTAGGTAATGATTCAAAAGTCAAAATTTACCGTATTCATGTACCAATTAAATTTTTTTTTTCAACTGTGCGATAAAGAGTTTCTAACATAAACTGAATATAGCGTGTTGCAGGTAAAAAGAAAATTTTTTTTTTTTTTGTCGATACCATTAGTCACTTATACGAGTATAGACTTATACAGTGTTAAAAAGTTTGAATTTTTCTAAAACTATTCGAAGGTTCCGACTGTTTTCTCAAGGTCATTGACAATAATAAATGAATAATGGCCATGATACACAATAATTGGAAATATTTTAAATCGAACTTTTTGTATAAATGATAGTTGAACAGCAGTATACAGAATTATTAGTACTTTAAATTAATAAGTCGTGGAAAAATCACTGTTATTATTATATATTATTATAATTTACATAATACAATTTGTAATGAACCAACTATAGGATAACCTACATGATTTAATTTATAAATTAGCTGCACTTGTCATAAATAATAATATAATAATATAAAGCGTATATATTTCTAGTTTTTTTTTCTAGTATTTTGAAATTCCTTTTTTGCTTTATATTCTAACATGAGTGTATAATACTGCATATAATCATGTTGGAATATTTCGAAAAATGTAAAGTCGGTCCATTGTATATAATGGATCGCGTGTACATTTTCGTAATGTTATTGCACTATGTTAATGACACATTTTCAATATATTTTATCAGTTAAGTTTTATTTTGTTATAAACAATGAAATTAATCATACTCTTTATATATATTTAATAAAGAACTTTTTTTATATCTTATTATAGGTGATGCTATTTCTAAACTGCTTAGCATGCCTAGCTGCCACAGTGATGGGTGCGGTATTGCCGCCTCCCTGGGCAGATCCATCCCAGAATCCGTGTGCTGCGGAACCATCGGGTGGATGGCAGCTACTTTTCTGGCCAGAAGATAAGAAATGTTATCGGATTTTTCAACGTGGATATCCATGTCCGGAGACGATGGAATTAGTACCAAGACCAGACCGCAAAGGTTCCGCTGAATGCGCGTGTCCGCCCGGAAGTGTCCGCAGTCCTCGTGATTCGCGTTGCCATCAACTGTTTCGACTCGGCGATCCTTGCGACGATGGTCAATATTTTGCACCCGGACCGGAAAGGTAATTAAAAACAATATTAAGCTCAGAAAATGTTCAATTTATATTAAACATATCGGTTCTATCATATTTAGGGAAGACCGAGAAAGGTGGGGTACGTGTGAGGATCCGTCACCTTGTGCTGAGAAAAATGAACTTTTTTGGCCCAAAGACAAACGTTGTTATCGTAAATACACTAAGGGACCATGCACTGAAGGACATTTATTAGTATCTAGTGCTTACAATGACTTGATTGGTGACTGCAAGTGCGAAAACGTCCCAGAGCTTTCAACATACTATTGGGCGTCAACAGGTTAGATATTACTTGATAAATGTATTAAAACAATTTTAATCATTACTCATACAAATAGTTTAATCAATTGAATACTTTGATCAGCAGTTCTAACTAAAAAAAAAAAAAAAATTAAACAATAAGAGGATATTGTTATGTTGTATGTTTTTACACGCGGTGTTTGCTTAACCAAAACAATGATCTACATAACATTTTACTACAGGTAATTTCCTGTTTTCTCTCGCTGCGAAGATTAATTTTGGTTTTGAAATTTAAAATTTTATACTACTCGATACTTTTAATTACACTTGTTCCATCTCGTTGTACGCGATAATATTACTCGTACACAATGACCTCCTCTTCCGTTTCCGAAGATTAAATATCGTAAATTGTCGAGAAACGATTTTTGAAGTTCACCGATCGAACATTTTCGACGTATAACACGGTGTTTATGTCTATTACTCGCGTTTCACGCATGAAGTTTCACGAGAAGCACACGGTGTAGTTAGTGTACGCGGCCGTGCCGTGGTACTCGAACGTTGTTTGTATGAACAGTGGTTTGCGTTTCAGGTACGTGCCACGAGCATTACACAATGGGGCCGTGCCAGGAACGCGGTGGCATATTCCTGCCGGGCGGCCAATGCGGATGCGACCCATCGTTACCGCATTTCCACAACGGCACGGGCAAGTGTTACCAGCTGGGGGGCATCGGCCCGTGTTCGCCGGGTCACCAGTTCCTCGTGCCGCCGGCCGGTTCAAAAGCGGAGTGCATGTGCAAGGAAGGTTACATCAAGTGGTTCGGTGACGGCGCGTGCTACAGACCGTACACGCGGGGCCCGTGCGCCGCGGGCAACATGTACAGCGTGAATACGACGGCCACCGGCATGGCCGTAGGCTGCGTGGACGTACCGTGCACCGCGGGAAAGCTGTATTTCCCGGGCGGCAAGGGGTGCCACCGGGTGGGCACGCAGGGCCCGTGCCCGGCCGGCCAGATAGTTATGTTCCAGGACACGGTCAAGACGTCCATCGAGGGCGTCTCGTACCTGGGCATGTGCGGCTGCGCAAACGCGGACGCCGCGCAGCAGACGTCCGCGGCCCGGTCGTTTTACGCGTCGTCGCCGTACGTGGCCGTCGACCCAGCGTTGACGTGCAAGCCGCCGCCGCCTCAAACGGCCGCTGCCAGAAAACTTGGCGGCAGTGTGGCGGCGGGCAAGCATGCGGACGTCATGCCGCCGCAGGACCCGTGCAGCCACCGGCGGGGCACGATCGCGTGGAACGATCTGTCGTGCAAGCAGCTATATATGCAGGGGCCGTGCGACCCGGGTGAGTGGGTGGTACCGGATCGCGGCAAGGGCACCAGGAGGGGCCGGGGCTGGAAGATGGGCAAGTGCGAGTGCCGACCTGGGTTCACGGCCGTGCTGGTACCGGGTGACGCCAATAACGCCACTGTGTGCCAGCCGCCGACCGTCACGCTAGCCAAGTTTCTGAATATGAGCGACGAGTTCAACAGGAACACGACCAAGACTACCGCGGTCATTATCACTGCAGACGACAACAACGATGACAACGGTAACAACAATGGAGTGCGAACACGGTAAATCGAGTGAAACATTATGTACGGGGTGTTGAAAAGAGCTCGCAACCGATTCGAATTGAAAACATGCGGCAAAAATGTCCCAACAGCTTTTTGAGCACTCTATATTCTCTGTGTGCTGTCTAGTTGGTACGCGTTGGCTATACGTATGTGTATAAACTTTACTAATTTATATATCAATACATGCATACATAAAAACGTCAAACGAACCTTATCTTTAGATTAAAAAACATTATAAGACTGCAACGTATATCCTTATACATTATTATATTCAGTATCATAGAACAAAACTTTATCACGCTTCGATCGATCAATTTTACATTAAAAAGGTTGGTAAAATAAATATATACGGCTTGCCAATATTTACAATAAAGGAAAAATTGAACAAATTTACATGACCGATCTTTTACAATATTGTATTTTTAAGTCAAACATAATACACATGTATCCGTATTAAGTTTAAAATCGCATTCAAATTTTTTTTTTTTTAATTTTATACATTATAGTACGACCATACACAATATTTTACTCTAATAATTATATCGAACATATTACTAAAATCTGTAATTTAATTTTCGTCATAAATAAGTTTTGTCTTAAATTTTATATAAATAATAATCATATGAGTAAATCAGTTTTAAAATGGTTGATACATTCAAAAATAACTGTAATGCAATGCAATTTAATATTGACAAATTATGCAGTTACGTAAACTTGCACGTTAAATAATTAATAGTCAATCTTAAGAAATTACGATAGTTAAATTATGATTATTATTTAGTTTTTTTTGTATAAATTATAATATTGTAATTATTAATGGAGCTAAGTATAAAATAATTGTTAATCTACGAATTCATAAAAAAATAAATAAAACTTCAAATCATCGAAATCTCAATGTTATTATAAGGGCTTTTGATGATTAGAAAATCAATGTTACCAACAAACTTATGACTGTATAAATAACTTAATAACCATTAGTTTTTATTAACAATAATTGGTGTATATTCAAGTTTTTTTTCAATAAACTAAAAAAATAATAATAATAATGTTCTATTATTAGCGAGTTGTTAATTGACAAATTATTTTAACCTTAGTGATTTGTATAATGTGTGTATATCATATTTTATTGCATAGTGTGCACACAGTTAAAAACAAATATATTCGTTAAAGTGAAATTATGAACAATACGTACCATAAATTAAATTGTTTAGTAAAATGTATAGTATTAGTAAGATAATATTTATTTTTTTTCTAACAAACAAGACCTAGTATAGTAATAGTGTCTACCCACTAGCTGTCAAAAATCATAACATAAATGTGTGTACATTGTGCAAATATAATAATATTAATGTGTGTAGGTATAGGTAAGTAAACCTAAGGTAATTAAGACCGACTTTCCAATTTACTTATTTGATATTTTTAGAAAAATATCGCAAAAAATACATTTATTGCATTTTAACTGAAATATGCATGAAAACTAATTTTGTATAGTGAATGCTTTCACTCAGTATTCGCGAATGTGTATAATACTTACGATGTCATCATGGCAATGTGTTTTTATTCTGCCCTTTCGCATCGGAACGAGTGGGGGGAGGTAAGAAATGAATATGTATTTATGTTGAAGGTTATCGTTTCCTGCTCGAATAGTATATAGTTACACATGAGTAATCTTTTAAAGAACAATCTGACATTTGTTATTCAGTGACAAATAATATATATTTCTAACCAAACCGCCTACATAACAATTATGTTATTCTTCATCGAACAAAGTTTCTAAATTATACGTAGTTTTAACATATGTTGTGATATAGTATATACTGTTCATAGATAGCTTTAAAAATATTTAAATGTTTGTATATATTAATGAAAATTATCTGGAATGGGCCCTATCAGGTCACAATCTTCATCTTGTGTACATGAGTACGGAGTAGATTCATGAAAGAGCAACGACCATAACTAATTATGTTGGCCTTATATTATTATTTATATCATCAATGAGTAATATTTTAACAAAAATGATAATTACATGGGAGTGTGAAACCTGTAAACATCGACAACGCCAATGTTAAATATATATTGAACAATTTAAACAGATAATAATATAAAATTTTCCTCTCACCAATAATCAATATTTTATTCAACTTATTTTAATGGGATGAGTAACATCTAATATATTGCATAATTGAATACTTGAATTAGTTATGTATTGTAAACATTATTTCGTCAGTATACTTACAATGTCCAATATAAATTAAATATCTAATACATAATACATATACACAAATTACTTATAATGTGAACACGCTACACATTTTATTGTATTTGTTTGAGAATAAATGTATTTTATTTTACAAATATTTTCTGAAAAATGTTTTTAACATGTTATGAACTATGTATTGTGTATGTCTAATTCCATATGAAATATTCCTAACCTGTACAAAGTAATAAGCGGAAAATAGTTAGATGAAATTATGTAAAAATATTTCAACCATGCCAAATCCAAATCTTTTGTTAAAACTTAGAAGTTACAAGATACCTCACGTCCACGCATCATAGCCGATTTATAGTACCTCGTTTTATCATTATCGTTTCTACCTATAAACTTATCGGTTTAATAAAGTGCTATAAATGGTTTCAAACTCTAATCGTTATAGTAATACGTCAAAAAAAGTCGATGAGTTTTTATTGACTGTACACGTGCTCGAGTTTTCAAAATAATAAAAGGTGAATATCGTATAAAAGTCGTTTACTTTAATAATCATTTTTTATTTTTATTAACTTACGTTTTAACTTGACATACTGGGATTCGAGTTTTCTGGCTAACTACTTTATTTTCTGATATATATACAGAGGTGAAACTAGGAATTTTTACGCCTGGAGAAAATGTTAAAATTACGCCCTATCATAGACCAATAATCAAATACTCTTCTTATGAATATTTTCTAATAATTAATATACAATCACACTGTTAAAAATATCAAATTAGATGTTAATAATTACAAAAAATACACTCTCAAATCTTACGCCCGGGGATAAATCCCTAACTTACAATATATAGGTAGGTTAGGTTAATTAGAAGAAGACTTAGGAATTGGTCGAATTAAACTAGTTTTCCAAGTATCAATAAAAATACCGGTACCTATATAGAGATACAGTGGCGTATTTTCAATTTTTTCTGGGGGAGGGGTCCACAGTTTATACATAATTAATTTAAACTATATATTATATTGTAATAGTTACGTCCTTGTGCAGTTTTTGGAGGAAGTTGAACTAAATATATAATGTAATAATCGTATAGTCTTATGTAATATTATATATATATATATATATATATGTACCTATATATTGTATTTAACATTATATATTGTAAAGTATTGTTATAAAATAAATTCCAGTTGTTTCGATTTTTTGGCCAATTCCTCAATTACTTCATCAACAGTAATTTCAACTTCCCTGTGAATGTTTAACATAGCCAATTTTACAAATATGTAAGAATTTTAGTTTATTTTTTGGAGAGGTTCTGAGGAGGGTCCAGTACCCCTGGAACCCCCTCCCCCGTAAATACGCTACTGTAGAGATAAATAAAATAAGTACGATAAAGGTGAAGAAATAATAAATTTTCCGTTTCTTAGGAATATGTTTGGTATTAAATCAGAACCTGAAATGGAGTTAGAATTTATGGAGCTAAATTATTCAAATACCTCAATTAAGTCAATGCAAAAAGAGTGTAATGAAGAAAGAAGAATTTTAGGTGGAGTTTATGGTTTAAAATTTACATTGACATAATCGTAATTTTCATGTACACTAGAGAAGTAATTAGCAAAATCATTAACAATATCATTAGAAGTATTAAATTGATCAGTGTTTAAATATATACAATTTGGTAAAAAATGGTTTTTGCATTTACTGATAATGAATTTTCAAAATTGATACGGTTTAGTCTTTAAATTTTTTTTAATTTTATTAATGTAATTTTGGTAATCATTATTGGAAATAAATTTACATTAAGCACGAAGATTTGAAAAAGTATTGTAGTCCACCACCAAACCAGAACTGTCTCTCTGGCAATAAACAGTGGCGCATTTAATATAAAGAGTTAATGATAAAGAGTTTTGGATAAATAATATGGTGAAAAAACTTAAACTGTAAGTATTAATTTCTTTATTATTAAATCTGTATTTGTAAAAGTATTTCTCAGCAATATCTTACTTATATTTTTACAGATTTTATTTAAAATGTATGTTGCCGGAAATTGTTCACCCACTTTTCAAGTTAAGACTTCTAGTAACCGACATCAGAGAGCCAAAACACATAAAAGATGCACAAAAAACTAAGAAGTCACTGGTTAAAAAAAAAAATTAATAATTGATTTATAATTTATGTATATTAGGTCTGTGTATGTATGGTATAAACGTATAATAACTGCTCCGAGTTTTATTATATAATATTATATTTGTGTTTGACATAAAGGTAAAATGGAAGAAAGATTTTATAATACATATATACTGTAGTAAAAGGGTCGATATTAAAAATATTAAGATATGAATTATCGTCGTGTAGGCCTAATATACGTGTATAGCCGATTCCGGCCTGCTGATAACGAAGTTACCGCGCGCACGCTGCAAATAGTGTTAAGTATATAGTATTTACGACGAATGTTTATAATATAATAAACTGCTTTTCCAAATCAACATTTGTCGGACCTCGCTATCGCGAATAATGGGCGTGTCTATAATGTGTATCGCGTGCTTGCGGTGCACGAAAACATCTAACAGAACGTTCTCTCGGTCGTTGTACACGTTTCAATTTTGGTGTGGCGTCCTCTTATTACAGAATTATATAAATAATAAGCTGACACAATTTCACTACCCTTACTTTATTACACATATAATACGTAGATAACATTTTTCACAAGAATAAAATACGGCATAGTATAATAATCCATGGCATAGTTATCCATTAAATAAGTTTAAAATTGAAGAACTTCGTAATTATTTGAAACGTTACATGACATCAAATGAAACACAAATGCATTTTCTACTTCATCTGGATCAAGAAATGGCAAACTAAAAATTTACTTTAAAAATTTGCTTATTTCCGAAGATTAATCCTTATATTTTGATGATAAGCCGATTTCTTGAATTTTTCGCCATCAACTTTGATCAAAATGGAAGCAACAGCCTTTAATTTCTATTGATGACCACACTTTGGCGATTGCAAAATGAATCGCTGTTTAAAAATCTATAATAATACGTGACATATGTATACCTTATCCTCTGCACGATAATAAAGTATAATACGAATAGTAAAACTTATTAAAATATAAATTTTTGTTGGGACATAACTCGTGTATCGTTATTTTTTTCGTCTGGATACAACTCGTGTACCAATAATTTTGTGGGGAAACAGCTTGTTAACTGCGATAAAATAATCGATAGCTTATAATTTTTTTCTTGATTTTTGAGAAGCAAAAGTTTCAATAATATTAAAATTAATAGTTTTTGTTAAATCGGCTTTGATGTTAAGGATTGCTAATGAATTAAGACGACTTTCTCCCGTTGTTGATCTTAAATAAGTGTTGAC